GTGGAAATTTAATTTGAAAAGCACTTTTATCTCTGCAACTTCTTGATTTTTCTAAGAAAAGCATGTACAAAAGGTGTGTGAGAAGTATGAATGGAATAGTAAACCTTTTATTCACTATACTCCTGCTCTGAATTATTTTTCTACTCTATCTCCCTCTGCTACTTAGACTTAGTTCATTCTGCAAGCTACAGTTTAGAATACTGAGCTAATTCTTATTTTCAAAGCGACGTTCTCAGCAGTCAAACCCTGTATGGTCCACTTGTACTTTGTTCAACAATGTCTCCACATGTGGTGAGTAAGCACGTGTGCCTTAAAAGCGATCTTTGAGGGATTTGTAATGTGACTTAGTTATAATTATAACATAAGTGTTCTAGAGCAACGTTTCTCAGATGTGGCCACCAGGGGCTTTTCGTGTGACCACAGCCTCCTGGGTGGTGATGGGGGGAGGGGCAAAGCAGTGGCCCCTCCCAGGGCTGCCAGTAGGGGTTGGGCCCTGTCCCCCTCTGGAGCCACAAATGCTGGAGGAACAGGCAGGCGGTGGGGCTCGGGCTTCAGATCTGGGGTGGCAGGCGGCAGGCTCCTGCCGTGTGGCAGCGGGCTCCATCCCCTGGCCATGGGCTTTGAGCCCTCACCCTGGCCCCATGCTCAGCCCCCCACCCCAACCTGTTGCCTCCTCTGGCCCCGGGCTCTGGCCATGTGCTCTGACCCCCAGCCGCAGGGTTTTGGACTCCACCCATGGTGCCACGCAGTCCAGCCCCGGCCCCCAGGCATGTGGCAGTGACTGCCGGCCCCAAGCTCACCACCCCCACACGTCGCCCCTGGCCCCCACTGCGTCCTCCGGCCCTGGACTCTTTGGGCTGTGCAGCTGCAGGGCTCTGGTCCCCGGGCTCACCCCATATCATCCCTGGCCCCAAGCTGCCTCCCTACCCTCCTCCCTATCCAGGTCTTAATTTGTCCCCCAGCTTGCCAGGGCTGAGTAAGTCTGTTGTGAAAAATGATATTTGTATGTTTGTTAATATCACTTTTCACTGCCTCCCTGCTAGCTAGCAAGTCTGCTGCTGTGAAAAGTGATATTAACAAAATACAAATATCATTTTTCACACAAACAGACTTACTAGCTAGCAAGTCTTAAAAAAATAATCAACCAAAAAAAGCAAAAGAAACCGCATCAAAAAGAGACAAGAACACGCAAAACACATTATTTGTTTCTATTCTGGTTAGGTCCAATAAAGAACAGAGAAAACTGTACATTATTTTTATTATTGTCTGCGAAAAAGCCCTACATAAATAAATTACAATGATTTGGACATGTATCTGTGCATATTTATTTGTTTTTCCTAAACTTAATTAAGTATTTTAGGAAAAATTGTCAGAACGGCCACTGGCAATAGTTGCACTCTAGGCCACCAAAAAATTTCTTGTGAGAACCCCTGGGTACATTTACACAGCAATAAAAGACCTCTGGCACAGCTGCTGCTGGCTCAGGTCAGCTGACTCAGGCTTGCAGGGCTTGGGCTGTGGGGCTATAAAATGGCAGTGTAGACATTCAGGCTTGGGCTGAAGTCCAGGCTCTGAGATCCTGTGAGGGGGTGGGTCTCAGACCCTTGGTCCCCAGCCCAAATGTCTACACTGCTATTTTTAGCTCTGCAGCCTGAGCCCCACGAGTAAGAGTCTGCTGACTCAGGCTCTGAGACTCAGCGCCATGGGTTTCTTATTGCAGTGTAGACGTACCCAGAGGTTATTGTTTTCTTAACCAAGATAATATTGTAATATTAAAAAAAAAATAGGAGGGTTAATTCAGAAGTAGTTTCTGAGGTCCAAGTTTAAAGTCCTTTTGACACAATGACACAGTGACAGTATACACATGTTATATCTGTGGGCGTCTAGGCAATGAGGGGAGTACAAGGACCATTGTGTACTGGGCAGGTACATACAATATTTCTGACACCTATAAACAGCCTAGACTAGACTTTAACTTGTGGTTATGCTCACTGTCAGTGTGACTGAAAATGGTTGGGGAGGGTCTCAACCGCTTAAAAAGTTATATAGCCATTTTCAATTATAGTGGATATCAGCTGACTCCCCATGTGCCGTATATGTGTATAAATGTACAATGCACATTTATGTATGTATTGTATGTATTGTATGTATAAAATACAATCCTGGGACTCAGTCCTCCAAACCCTTATTGAGCAGTCCTTACTCATAGATTCATCACTTTGTTTTTTGTTTGTTTTTTTAAAGCCGGAAGCGCTCATTAGATCGTCTACCCTGCCCTCCTGTATAACACAGGCCATTAAATTTCTCCCAGTTATTCTTAGATTGAACCCCATAATTCGTGTTTGACCAAAGCACATTGTCCGGAAAGGCATCCAGTCTGGATCTGAAGACATCAAGAGATGGTGAATCCATCACAGCTCTTGGGGCTTTGTTCCAATGGTTATTCACCCACATTGTTAAAAATGTGGGCCTTATTTCTAATGGGAATTTGTCTGGCTTCAGCGTCCAGCCATTGGTTCTTTTTGTGCTAAAGAGCCTTATGTACCTGCTATTTAAACCCAATCCAGTCATTAAAACACCACAATCAAGTCACTTCTCAATCTTCTTACCAGAAGTCCTGGGTTCTGTTTCTGCCTCTGCCCCTGACTTGCTGTGTGATCTTGGGCCAGTCACTTTCCCTCTCTGGGCCTCTGTTTCTTCCCCCCGCTTTCTCTCTCTTGTCTATTTAGCTTATAAACTCTTGGGAGCAGGGACTGTTTCTAATTGTGTGTATGTGCAGCACCTAGCGCAGTGGATCCTGATATCACTTGGGGCCTCTAGATGCTAATGTAATACAAATAATAATTATACATTATAATTATTAATAATGTTTGTTATTATTACTGAAAAAAGGAAGGACCATAATAAGGGTTAAAACTGGACTGAGGTTTCAGGAGGGATGGGTAGCCTTTAATACTCAGTGCTTCTATAGCAGCTATTGATCTGGAACTTGCAAAGCACTCTGCAAAGGTGCCTATTTTACAGTGGGGAAACTGAGCCACAGATATGGGAAAGGAGGTGGGAAAGCAGAGCTGGGAACTGAATTGGCCATGATGATCTAGGTTCTTATTTCAGTGAGATATCACTTGGGAACTGAGTGGTGTCTGTGTCCACTGCCTAGTGTCTGGGACTGTGTACATCTATATGTGTGTGTGTGTGTGGATGGGGAAGGTGGTTTGGGTTTTAAACTAATACAATCAGATGGTCTTCCAGCATTAAAACCTATCAACAGTCCAGCTGCACTTACTCCCAAAGTCCTTCTGAAATCTTGTACTTGCTGTGGTTATAGGGGACACTGGAGATGAGTAGTTGAGGTTGAAGAAGGAAGGACATGGACTAACAATCGCATCTTCAGCCTTTTTTCTTAGTGCCCTTGGCAGCACTTTACATAGTCAGTATCACTGAATCTCCTGCAAAGTCAGTTTCCCTGTTGTTTTGTGAGGTCTCTTACACCGGGATATGGCAGAGAAAAACATTTACAAACAAAAAATGAGGTGGTAAAACCACAAAATGTGGTAGGGGGACCTTGGGACAGCACCTGCAACTACTTTTAATCCTCTTTTGAAACTGCCTAAGTTACTGGTTTGACCTTTAAAGCCTCAGGGAAATTCACCCCTGGATCCTGAGTCAGTTTCACTGATTTCTCACTCAAATGATCACATTTGATTTCAGTTGGACAATTCACATAAATAAGGATTTGTCTAGAGAGTGTGGTGTCAAGCTTCTGGCCTCTAAAAACCCTTCCGTGTTCCACAAGATATGACTGCACTGCAGGGGGCGTTGTTCCCAGGATGGGGACGGACAGACAGACAGACGCACACATGCACGCACGCACACACACACACACCCCAACCAAGCTAACACACTAAAAGTCACAATATGGCCATGGAGGCATGGGTAGCAGCTCAAGCCAGCCACCTGAGTACAGTGCTGTCTGAGATCCTTGCTGCATAATCTGGTGTCTAGCCTGTGCCATTGTCGTCTCGCTGCCATTTTTAGCACGCTAGTTCAGTCAAAACTTGTGCATGTATGTGTAACAGAGCTAGGAATTACACGGCCCAGCTTCAGTGTAGACCTATCCAGAGGGTGTGCAGCTGTCTGAGCTATGAAAGGGAATTGATGTAGTGGTCCTATGAAGGCATGCTGGATGTTCTGATGTGTAACACTGAGTGTTATGCTTGTGAGACATTCCATAAAAGAGTGTAAAGTAAGTTCATTTTTTCTAAACATACACATACATTTTTTTACATGTCATATAAGCACTAGGTGCAATTACACACTTACATGGAAGTGTTTTCATAAGACCGATGTAAATGGCTAGTGCTATTGGGATTTTTGTACATGAACATGAAAGTAAGAATGCAAACTCATGCTAAATACTAGATTTTTCAGAATTAATAGGAAATAAATTTCTTGCAGTTGCATAAGACCAACACACTCTTGCTTGTCAACACACAGCTCTCCTATTAATGCCCTCGCTTGTGCTATGTAAATGTAGTATGCCACCTGTGATCGAAAAAAGTTTTAGTAGAGGAAACATTTGCATCTAGTTAAGGTGTATAACCTCAGGTTTTACATGTTCATCATGGGTATTTTATTAAAAAAATATTTTTAAAAAACCGTCCAGCAATGTTCAGTTGTAGAATCACCAGCTTCTCCAGTTTCTTCATTCTGTATTCAAAAGATTTTAATGAAAGGCCTTCCTTCAGAATAATCATTTAAAACTATCTTCCTTTGGGTAGTAGTAATTCTTTGGTGTTTAATATTGCCTCTATATTTCTACATCTAGGTTTCTATCCATGCTAGAGGAAGAGGTGTATAGTCAGAATTCTCCTATTTGGGATCAGGATTTCATGGTGTCCTCTTCTCGAACTGGCCAGCTAGGAATCCAAACAGGTAATCTGCATTTAGGACAGGGTCAGGGAGAGACTGTATAAAGAACACAATAAATCTGCAAAATCTTCCACTGAGAGAAAATGGTGTAATTGTAAGCAGGCAGTACTGGAAATGCAGATTTATATGGCAGCTTCTGCTGAAACTGGTAGCCTGAATATCAGTCCATGTCCAGATGTACACAGGAAGCAGTCTCTCTGGTTCCTCATGGAATGATGAAATACTCTCCTCTGCAAAGGCATACAACTGATGTCTTATCTCAGAACATTTTATATCTTGTTGCTGTAATACGTACTTTAGCTGTCTTGTTTTTTTAGAGCTCCCTCAAGCATTGCCTGGTGTCCATTGACACATCCTGCCCTATACCAGCTGTTCATCAGCTCAGTTCAGAGGAATGCTTTCTCTGAGTCACCGCTCCCCAGAAGTCTACTCATGGCTGTATCACAGAAGCAGCACTTATAAATTTCCGGGGAAATCTGGAAAAGATGTATCTGTTTGTAGAATATTTAAAATCCATTCATACTGCTCAGTAGTCTGTCTATCTACTAGACTACCAAAGTTAGGGTTGGGGATATTAAAGCATCTGATGTAGCTTTTCCTGACTGTCAACTGGGGAAGCATTGTGTGTGTCTGATAATGGGGCTCTTACCACATATTAGGGACCCTTCTATTGGGACAGGCATGTAACTTTGAGTAATTCCTAGTTTCTAACTAGTATCCAATCATATATGGGCATTGCGAGGTTGGGGTGGAAGACCCATGTTGAAAAATATATCTATAAAAATAGGTAAATTGTTAAAGGGCCAAGTGAAATTAGACTAAGCTGTCCCCCACCTCCACCTAATCCATCCTATTTATGAACGGTATAAGAGAGCACTAAATGTATCTTGGTTATAGAGGCCATTTCATCAGCTAATCTTCAGTAAACTTCAAATTTTGACCTATACTCCTCCGGTGTCAAAGTAGCAAGGTTCTTCCCATGTGAATGCTTCAGAAAACAATTAAAAGGGTGCCTGTTGTTTTTGAGGACATAACAGTAAGGGGTTACAAAAAGAGAGACTGCATGTGTCCAGTTTCCAAGGAACCTTCTTGTCAGAAAATGATTAGTGGCACTAAACAAATCTGAGCATGTGGCATTAAATATATTTTAGTAGGGGTGGAGAAGTGTGGGGGTTTTATTTTGAAAAATAAATGTATAGCTTTAAGTGGTGCCACCAGAGTAATTTTCATTGGATTTGGTTTGGGCAGCATGTTCATAGAATCATAGCAATGTAGGGCTGGAAGGGATGTCAACAAGTCATCAAGTCCAGCCCCATGCGCTGAGGCAAGACCAAGTAGAATAAGGGAGTGCACTTTAGTGAAATCGTACATCTTTTCCTAGAAGACCCTTGAGAACTAGCTGCTAATCGTTTCTTGACGTGGCAGAATGCCAGCTAGCTAGGTAGGTATGTTGAGGAAGCCCATTGTTACTAGCATTTGCACAACACTGCAGAGGAATAAAGCCTGACATTGGCAGTGGAGTAAAATTAACTCTGTAATACAATGGAAAGGTGTTAGAGCTATATTTGTTACCTGGAAGCTTTTAGAAAATATAGTTCATAAATCCCCACCTGCTCACCACGGAATGTGGCTTGCTGTGCAGTATCAAATTTTAAAATACAATAAAAGAAATCAGAATAAAAAACCTCTTCTAAAAATATATACAATAACATTCTTTACCCTGGTTTTTGATTGCACTACATAACATGGAGTGCTGTTGAAAACCCACTGGATACTCGCTACCAGTGTAACTCTTTGAAGTTGTTTGTTCTTCCGGTCAGTGTTGTGGTGAATTCTAACGTCTTGAACATTCTTTCTCTTTTATATTGTTGCAGTTATCAGTCCTCCCCCTGTGGCAAGGTCTGTTTCATATAGTGCAAGTCCTTCATCTCTAGAACAACCCAACAGCGGAAGTATGAGTCCTGCTTGCAAAGTTTCTTCTTGCCATGACCCAGCTCTAGGTAACTCGAAAGGAAGTTGATCTTGTCTTCTGTTCAGCCTAATTATCACAACATGGTTTTATGTTGTGTCAAGCCTATAGTTTTCTTTGTTTTTAATGGCTGTGGCATAGCTGAAATCTCCAGATCTTGTTCCTTGGGGGATGGGAGAAAACAAGTCAACTTTAAAGAATCGGTGTCCTTTCTAATGTAGACAAATTCTAGCATAGCATTCACCACATATTGAACTCTGGGGCATATAGCCACTCTAATGGAAAGCAAAATGATGCCCAGTTTAGTTCAAGCTCTCAGTTATTTACTAGACCATTGTTTTGTTTACAGATATGATTTAAAACTCCCATGTTAATCCAGAAGAAAAAAATCAAAGGTGACCCAAAAATCTTTTTTGAAAAATGAGGCAATTTTAGGGTCACATGCGTAATGTTCCAAGTAGTAGGAAGCAGAGGGATATCAGCACATAACTGTTTATGAACTTGCTTTTTTCTTGTAGTTTAAAGTCCTTTGAAGTCATGTTACCAGCTTCCATTCCACTGCTGTGCTCCAACATGTATCAGCGTAAGCTATTTGGGTTACAAAATGAGACAATTAAAAAAGCAACAACCAAAAATATTTGCAACGCAATAAAAAAAATCTTAACCCAGACCCCTTCCCTTCATATGTTGTCTCTGTGCTCCAGAGTGTTTACTTGAAAGCTGTAACATCTCAGTGTGATGCTTATTGGGGCATCATAGCAGAGTGGAAGCCAGAGAACTGTGACCTAACACAAATAAAAGATAAATTTACAATTAGCCATATAATGGAAAATCTCTGCCCCATGCTATTTGGGAGATTCAGCATTTAACTCATTTTAAAAACAGTCTTCAGTCTGCCTTTACTACATTGCATCTCAGTCTATAATTAACACCAGTGTTGTTTCTATTGTATTTTGATTGGGGGTTTTAATATCTTGGTTTCTTAAAGTTACATATGGTTGAAATATGATATATATATACTGTCAGACCAGCTGCACTTTTGTTCCCACAATGAGTTAAAAAACATCAGTAGTGGATATTTAGTTCTAAGATATCACAACATGTAAGACATAACTAGCTTCACTTTTATATCAAGTTTTGGATAAAATTACTTGAGTTAATTTTTTAAAGGGAAGTGGATTTAGTAAACTTTTGATGTTTTGAAGAAAATGGCAAAAATATATACTATTGGTAGGGCCCTACCAAAGTCACAATCCATTTTGGTCAATTTCACGGTCATAGGATTTTAAAAATCATAAATGTCATGATTTCAGCTATTTAAATCTGAAATTTCACGGTGTTGTAATTGTAGGGGTCCTGATCCAAAAAAGAGTTTGGGGGAGGGGGGTGTCACAAGGTTATTGTAGGGATGGTTGTGTTACTGCTACCCTTACTTCTGCACTGCGGCGGCGCAGCCTTCAGAGATGGGCAGCTGGAGAGCGGCGGCTACTGGCCAGGAGCCCAGCCCTGAAGGCAGAGCTGCTGCCAGCAGCAGCGCAGAAGTAAGGGTGGCACGGTATGGTATTGCCACCCTTACTACTGCACTGCTGCGTGCAGAGCTGGGCCCTCAGTCAGCATCTGCCACTCTCTGGCCGCCCAGCTCTGCAGGCAGCAGTGCAGAAGTAAGGATGACATGGTATAGTATTGCCACCCTTACTTCTGTGCTGCTGCTTGCGGGGCGCTGCCTTCAGACCTGGGCACACGGCCAACAGCTGCTGCTCTCTGGCCACCCAGCTCTGAAGGCAGAGCAGAAGTAAGGGTGGCAATACTATGACCCCCCTAAAATAACCTTCTGACCCCCTGCAACTCCCTTTTGGGTCAGGACTCCCAATTTGAGAAATGCTGGTCTCCCTTGTGAAATCTGTACAGTATAGAGTAAAAGCACAGAAAACACCAGATTTCATGGGGGGAGACCAGATTTCACGGTCCGTGATGCGTTTTTCATGGCCATGAATTTGGTAGGGCCCTAACTATTGGCTTCTGAGCGTGGGCAGCTTTTCAGAACTTTTCTGTGATTGTGCTAATTCACCATTCACTTTATTGGGGTTTCTTGTCATCCCCAAATGCACATAACAGTGTTAGTGCAAGTCTGTGAGGTTGATGTGATCTCAGGATGATGGCAATACAAATCTCTGAAGAGGATTGTGATGATGAGAGGCAAAATGGTTTTAATGTGAATTTATGGAGATAAAATAGTGCAAGCAAATGTATGTATGTCCTCAAGTCAGTGCTGACATTCCAGCATAAAGGCAATGTTGCACTGATGATGTTTACATCTGATAATTTGATATAAACAAACATACCAGTGACATTTCTTTCTATTTCTAGGTTTAAAAAAAATGAAATTATATACAAGCACCAGAATCTAGGACTAATGTTAGAATGCAAACCAACTAAAGCAAGAACATGGTCTAAGTTGATGATTCATAACCTAGTCCCATAGTGCTTAGACACACAACATGCTGCCAACAACAATAGGAGAAGATTAAAGTGCAGATAAAGGCAAACAAGCAATTATTAAACTGACATCATTGGGGTATCCTCTCAAGGACTTTCATATTTAAGCAGTTAATACTGCAAATCAAAATATGTTTATTTTTTAAATGCCAGCCTTGCAAATGCAGCATGGGACCTGAAAGCTAAGCTCTTTTCTTCCTGTCTGTTACACAAGTAATAGATTATGCAGCTGGAATTTAGCTGCCAGATTTGTGGATGGTACATGAGTGAGAAAAGAATTCAGCTCTGTCTTAAATAGCTATATTGTCTCTAGTGCAGAGTGAAAATTTGTTTTGGTCAGTAAAGCCATGCAGTGAGCAGCTAGGTTGAGTTAGAGAAGGTGCCATTTTTAGTCACTCCTCATACCATAACTACATGTTAAATAGCAGTGGGAAGAGATTTAATTATTATGGGACAGGTTTGTGGAGAGAGAATTGTTTTCAGTGCTGTGTGCTTTTATTTGTAAAAGTGGCTTCCTGAGGTGAGTATTGCTCAGAGCCATAACTATGCATTTTAGCGCCTGGGGTGAGCAAGCATATTTGCGGCCCCTAGTGGTGATGCATGAGGGAGCATATGGGGTCATGTGCACCCTCCCCCCCCAGATTTCTGCCATCCATTTAACACACAGGTTTTCAAACTGTGGGGCATGCCCAGTTTGAAAACCGTTGGCTCCTTCCAGGAGCTAGTGGATCGGACGCTGGATCCTGCCAGGAACCTGTGGTGGAAGCTGCCCGGCCCGTTCAGGCTCCTGGCTCTCTGCGGTGTGGGTGCAAGGTGCTGGTTGGCTGCCCGGCAGCCTGCTCTGCCCTGCTCCCTGGCTGCCAGCAGCAGAGGTAATGGAGCACCAGGGTAATGGTACCTGTAGTGTGCCCCATCCATATTGAACAAGGAATAGAGTCTGAGATTCAAACTCTGACCTGCACCTTGGCAGTACATTGCTGTGCTATCTCTGTTGCTAATTTTTCTGCATTTTTAGAACTTTCTTTCATCCTAAACGTTTCAGCTTTTAATAAATAAATGTTTCTTTTCTCAGGTACCCCCCTCTAACCAACTTCTTTGTCTTTTTTTTTTTTTTTTTTTTTAATTTGCTCTTTGGAACATGAGCTGCCTGCATTAGTTCAGTGGTAGCTCAGATGCAACTTAAGTGTATAGTGTGGTTTCTTAGCAAGACTTGTAGTGATTTCCTAGGGCTCTGAGTAATGGATTCATGCCTAGTACAGACTTATTAACATAAAATTTATCACGTCAGTACTGTGAATTGTAAAATTGACTTCTGGCATTGCTGAAAAAGCACCTCAAATCTTAGTTCATTTACAGAAATCAATTACATTAGGAAAGTGATTAACTGCCGGCTTGTGCTTGCTTTGATCCACTGCAGCGTTCACTAGGCTAATTTCTTGCTGCTTTTGTCTTATAAATGGAATATGTTCTGTGTCTGTGGCAACCTGTTTGGCCTTTAAATTATCCTTTCTTTTTGTTCTGATTTGATTGTGTAGGAGAGAAGAGAAAGAACACTGAACCTTATTCTCAGGAAGATTCAAAAAGGCCTAGAGTTGTAGGAGATATTCCTATTGAATTGATCAATGAAGTGATGTCAACAATTACCGATCCAGCTGCGATGCTGGGGCCAGAGGTGAGAAATGTACACCTGGCAGTATTGATGGTTCACTTTTGTAACCATTACAACACAAATAGGATAATATAAACTACTAGAATTTAAGGATCCATTATAATTATCATGCCTTGTTTCTCTTTACTTAAAATGAAGGAAAATATTTGGTCTGTTTCTCAAATGAAAGGCATTGTTTGACAGAACAATAAATAGAGAGTCAAAAAAAATCTGTTATATAATATGTACCGCTTACAAAGACACTGATACCAGCGGTAGCAAAGAAATGCTTCAGCAAGTCAGATTGCTCACAGCTTGTTTTACAAGGTACTTTTACTACAGAGCAGTTCTATAATACTGCATTATTAATTGCAGATGTTTCATATTTTCTCTTGTTACTTTAAGACATGGGTGAAGTTGGTACAAATCTTGTAGCAGAATATTAGATTCAGATTTGAAACTTCTGCCAATCACAGCAGGGCTGATTTTTTCTTTAGTGAATATGTAGATGTGCTGAGGCTCAAAAATGAAACAACTTCTTTGCTTTTTCTCCTATAGCTTTTTCCTTAACTGAGGGGGGACCCGAGAGACTGAATTGCATTCTACCCATTTTCTACATTAGCATACACACCACAACATTGCACACATTTTTGGTTTGCATTGCCGGCTCTTCCTTCTCCTCACTCTCCTCCTGATTATCTTTTGCCAGTCTTTCATATTTGCCAAGTTTCAGCCAGAGGCTGCGGAAGATTTGGAGCTTTTACAAGGTTCTTACCCAAATTTTGTAATCTGATTGATGGGTATGTTCATTGTGAATGTTGGGACAATCAGGACGCAGGGCCTGGCAGTGACTGGATGCTCAGCAGCTAAACTTTGCTCTGGAAAGCAAACAATGCATGGAAGTCTGGTCGAGTGCAAAATAAAAATTACTGTGGGCACAACTGTAATTGGTGACAATCCTATGTCTGTAGTGTGTTAGTTCCAACTATGCAAATAAGTATGTGGGTTTTCCCAGACAGCATTAGAAATATTTTAGTATTCAAAAACTATCTTTAACCTTTCTTTTCTTTTCTTTTTATCACATTCTAAAGGATAGGTGGTTGGGAGTACTTCAGGCTTGTTTACTATGAGTAACTATGATGAGCTTTCATTACCTGTTCATTTAATTCACCATGATAAAGCTAAAAATTTAAAAACAAAATATAGCCACAATTTTAATAGGACCCACAAAAAGTATTTTTTCCAGTATTGCTAGAGTAGCAATTAACAGATACTATTTTCAGACTTCCTCAGTAGATGCCAATGTAAAAGCAAAAACGTTTGGGCATGGTAAGGTGTTATACAAGTAGAAGTTGCTAAACAAATTGGCTGTATTAATTTCCACTCTATTCAGATATAGACACACAATTGCCAGATTTTAGAAGCAAAATTTAGAAGGAAATGAAATGTTGTTTTCAAATTCTTAAGATAGTTGTGTAATCATGGAAAGTAATAAAATCAAAACTCTGTCAGGCTTATTGGCAGAGTTACTTTTTATTTAATACACAGAGGCAGCTCTGTTTGTAAAAGGATGAATGGGAGACTTGGAACATTTCTTGATTGTCCTGTTGATAGATGTGAGATTAAGACAATATCTCCTCAGACTCTCTCAAATGTATTTTTGTTCCCCTCTTGCACGACACAGACTAACTTTCTGTCAGCACATTCAGCCCGGGATGAAGCAGCAAGACTAGAGGAGCGTCGGGGAGTGATTGAATTTCACGTAGTTGGAAATTCCCTGAACCAGAAGCCAAACAAAAAGATTATGATGTGGCTAGTTGGCTTACAGAATGTATTCTCCCATCAGCTACCCAGAATGCCAAAGGAGTACATTACACGCCTGGTTTTTGATCCGTTAGTATCTTCTTTCTGATGTATGAGAGTCTGTAATGTGCGGTAGATAGACAGGAAAGGATCAATTTACAGGACAAAAAGGACAGAAAGCATGTCTGTTCTATGCTTGCTTTATTATTTCAAACAGAGATTGAGCCTGGCAAATATATTGGGTTGCTACTTTCCAAATTTACTTAATATAGATATCATCAGAAGGTGTGAGAAATCTGGAAATAATCTTTATTTTTGCTGTTATAAAAGTTAAAGATTAATAGCACTGGTTATTGGCTAGTGCAGGGAATGGATGCAGTGCAAATTTTCCAGACCTTGAAGTTTGCAATAAAATTCTTGAACCTTGCCATAAACAGTTATGAAGGGTTTACTGATGGCAGTCTTGTCCTTTTAACTGCTAGCACATGGTGTAAGTGCTGCTGAAATGGATATTTCTTCTGGTTTTTGCATACTTTTGAGAATAGGTGCTTAGCAATACCTATAATAATTGACTGCCTGATCACCTATGCTGGAAATTGATCACTTAAGCTATGTAGAATGCACACAGGGAATCAGGCATCTGGTAGTAAAGGCTGAATGTCCTGAAGGTCTGTTAATCTCTTATTTAGCCAGGGTAAAGTCATGATAAGAAATGCAACATAACTGTATAACTTATAGTGACAAAGGCAAGAAAACTCTTTGAGGCTTTTTACAGTAGATGCAGAACATGATGTTAGTTAAATCAGCAACTGTTCTATAGATACAAGCAATTGGTTTAGACATTTATAATTGCTTTTGGAAAGCAAAGAATAAATTTCTGAGGGAAAGATGGCACCTGTGCTATGCCCATGAACTAAGGCTGTCATTATTTTATGCATTCAGAAAACACAAGACCCTTGCATTAATAAAAGATGGTCGTGTGATTGGTGGTATCTGTTTCCGGATGTTCCCATCTCAAGGATTTACGGAGATTGTTTTCTGTGCTGTGACTTCTAATGAACAAGTCAAGGTAAAGACAATATTAGAAGTGGATTTATTGTACAGTTGATTAAGTCTATTTGAGTTCTGCGGGGCCAGAACTCACTAATGGATCATAGTCATAATTTTAGAATCATCTTCTCACTTCCCTTTCCTGTTCAGGAATACTTGGCGATATATTTAACACACAAAGCAATTCAACTGCCTAAAAATGTTATAGATCTGAGGACCACCCCCTTCAGAATAATTAAAAACATCTTCCATCAACACACTAATCTGTTGGCTCCCGTTATTGGGCTCTTTACTCTGTAGTCTTCACTGACTGGCCTTATATCAGCTTATTTTAACATTCACAGTTGAATGAAAATGGGCATTCTGCTTGTGAGGCAGTAATGCTATGGACCACAGCCTTAAATCACTTAAATTAACAATACCATTTTTAAAAAGTGGGCACATTCTTGCATCTGGCATGCTGAATAATTCTACCAGTGTGTACTTGAAGGGTATTTAAATGTTAGGCCATGTCTACACTATGGGCATTATAGTGGCACAGCTAGGATGCCGTAACTATGCTGCTGTGGCACCCATAGTGTAGACGCGTCCTAGAGTGACAGAAGGGGAGTTTCCATTGCCATAGACACTCCACCTCCCCAAGTGACGGTAGCTAGATTGATGGAAGCATTCTTCTGTTGACCTAGCTATGTCTGTACCAGGGGTTAGGTCAACACAGCTATGGAGCTCAGGAGCGTGGATTTTTTGATGCCCCCGAGCACCGAAACTATATTGACCTAAATTGCCTGAAGAATGAACCTCTCTGCTTAAAGAATGAAGAGTGTAAAAGTACAGAACCAGATTTCCTTTTAACAGAGGATTTCAGGTGAATCAAAATTATGGCTGTTTGATTTCAACCTCTTGCCTTTAGATGGTGCTGTAGCTGTATATTCAGTCAACTGTGTTTATAGATGAGAATGAAACTAATTTGGAGTTCACATCACAGAGTTGGCAGAAGTTATGTGCTACATGCAGGCTCTTGGAAACAAAGAGCCAGGGTGGAGGAATAGCAGAGTGGGAGTTGAATGCTTTTACAGCCTTAAGTATCTTCCCTCAGTCTTGGATTCACTAAACTCCAGATTTAGATCACTCTCTTAGCTGGCGGTCTGTCACAAGGGCATTCATCCAGCATTTCAGCAGATTTGAACAATAAAATATAACAGTCCAGACATGTATATTTCTAAGACTAAATAAATAGAAAAATGTGTGTTCAGTGTTTCATGGCTTTTGCTGTTTTAGTACAAAGTTGTGCTGACACACTTTGTGTAACAGTTCTGCTGGGGTAGCCTTTCAAAAAAACAAACAAAAAGGCCAACTGTCAAAAGTAGCTGCTTAAACAATACATGCATGGGCACTTTGGTGCACAATTATCAATTTTACACTCTTGGGTGCCTGTTAACATACATATATATTTGAGATAACTACATCTGAAAACTGGGCTTCCCGTGTTCCTTTCTGTGGAAGGTGGCCAGCGCCAGCAGCTCACTCAGAAAATGTTTACAAATGGATCTTAGGAAGTGTTTTTCAGCAAGAAGAGGCAATCTTTATGAACTTTCAGATAGCTGGACTAAGTAAAATGGAGGACAATTTTTTTTTTAAAATTTAGCTTTTGAAAGTTGAAACAGTTTTGAAGTAGCTGCATGTGACATCTATGTACAAAATGTGCATTGTAGCTTGCATGTCTTAATTTCTCTGTATGAATATTCAGCTGCAGAAGTTTTTGTGAGAATGAATACAATTTGAATAAATGAAGAAATAAATTTACATAAAATAAGATAGCTAAATTAAAAATCATCTCTAGGACAAAATATTCCAGGTATATGTAATTGCCACCGTCATTATCAGAATTACTTAAAAAAAAATTCCTTAAAGCCTCAGATGTGACATTGGGTTGGCTGGCAGACAAAATAATTTAGAACTCTTGCAATGGGTCACTAAACTTGTGACCAGAGAATGATGGGCACTGAAAATGTCATAGTGTATGTCTATACTGCATTTAAAAACCCGTGGCTGGCCCATGCCAGGTAGCTTGGGCGAAGGGGCTGTTTAATTGTGGTGTAGATGTTCAGGCTCAGGCTTCAGCCTGGGCTCTAGGACCCAGCAAGGTGAGAGGGTCCCAGAGCTTGGGCTGCAGACAGAGTCTGAATGTCTACACTGCGGTTAAACAACCCCTTAGCCTGAGCCTTGCAAACCAGAGTCAGCTGGCATGGGCCAGCTGCGGGGGGCTAATTTCAGTGTAGACAGACCCATAGTCTCTAACTTACTGTTTGGATTGTTCTGCTACAGAGAAATAAGCTTGACTAGCACTTACATCTCTAGTTTTTAGGTAAAAATGATTTTTCATTACATTTTTATCATGGTTTCTCCTATTTAAATTAAACCCTTGTGAATTTAGAATTTGAACACTGAAAATCCCTTTATGGTGAGCACATCGTAGAATTCTAAAGAACTTTTGGGACCCCTCAACAGTCCGTCAGTTGTCAAATCACGTATTTGATACCTGTCGTACTCTTGGAAGGGTGAAACAAGTATCTTAGTAGCTTACTTAAATTTCAGAAATATGCAATTTAGGATATAATCTGGGGTTGTAATTTGAAATGTGAAATCTGTAAAAGGGCCCCAAACTTTTAAAGGGTAGCCACTGAGAATAAGTTGATGCACAGGTATTATACCCCACAGTGACAGGCTTTTCAAGCATGTGTCATTATTAAGTATTCTGTATTCAATTTCCAATATTTATTTATTCCTGATATAATTTTGTTGCCGTTTTCCAGAGGCTATTAAAGATAGTGAATGTTGTACTTTCCATTTTGTAATTTATTGCTCTATCTCGTGTCAAAGCATAAGAAGTCTCCCAACCTTCCAATGAAATAAGGAGACCCCAGATATGTTTCCCAGACATTTTTAAAAGACTCCAGTTTTGTATCCATTGCCTCAATAATTGCAACATAAGCAGGAATGATTAATTCAGTTACATTGTGCGCAGTTAGCATAAAATACTCTGTCTCATTAGTGGGTTTAGTGTGTATCAGTTCTTTTTCATCACAAGAGAAAAAGAATAGGACAGTTTAGAAATGTAAATAGCATATTTATTTTCTGTAGGATTATTCACTTTTAGCTACATTATTGCATAAATCTATTTCTGAATGAGATTGGGAATTGTTTTATTTGGAGTCAGAGGACATCTTTATTCATTGTTTATTAATTTATATTGTGATAGTGCCTAGAGACCCCAATCAGAGATCAGGCCTCCACTGGGCTCGGTGCTTTGCACATATAATAAAAAGATGGCACCTGCCCCAAAGAGCCTACAATCTTAGCATGTGATGAAAAACAACAGGTGGGTAAAACGAACAAGCAGAAGGGTAAGAGGACAAGGTAGCAATGAAACAATCATGATTACCATAATAAACAGCATTCTTAGTACATCAACTGCCTAGCCATTACAAAGTGTTTTGTAAGTGACATGACCAAAGTAAGTCTTAAGGAAGAATCTGTTTCTCAGATACATCATTGTAGCATCCGAACACCTTTAGCTTTGTTAGTCCCCAAGGTTGTGACTCTATATGTTGTATTTAAGTTAAATATCAAGTATATATAGCTATATTCACCTTGAATTACAACTACCTGAAAAAATTACCTCTAGATCAACACTCTACTCCCCAAGAGAGTTGAGGTTGTTTCTTTTAGATCAAAAGTGAATCAATAACTAGAAGCTATGACATTCTGTGTCCTCCATTGGGTCACAGATGTGACCTTCCACGTATTTTAAATAGTTCAGTCTTTAATCCTCTCTAAATTATGAACCTGAGGTCCTTGAGTACAGCTCTGGAGAAATACTCCCTTCAAAGAACAGCCCTCCCTCCATAGCTTCTAATACATGTAACACCAAAAAGGTTTTCCTCATGAGATGAATTTCCTTAACTATTTCCACATAGGGTTATGGAACTCACCTAATGAACCATCTGAAAGAGTATCACATCAAACATAACATTCTCAACTTCCTCACGTATGCAGACGAATATGCAATTGGCTACTTCAAGAAACAAGTAAGTCAGCCCAAGAAAAGTCTTCAGCCAGTTTAAGACATTGAAATGTAGAAATATTACGGCCGTGTCTACAGTTACAAGCTTACAACAGCACAGCTGTAAGAGGATTTGTATAGCTGCGTTATGTTGACGGCAGAGAGCTCTCCCATTGACATCATAAAACCAGCTCAACAAGTGGTGGTAGCTGTGTTGGCGGGAGAGCTTCTCCTGCTGACATAACCCTGTGGACACGAGCACTTATGGTGGCAAAACTTGTGGCACTCGGGGGTGGTTTTTTTGCACCCCCCGAGTAACAAAAATTTTGCCAACATAAGTGCTAGTATAGGTATGGCCTAAGTAAAATGTATTAGCAGCTGTGTAAAATGTGTAGTCTCTTTTTATTTTAATGTACAAAATATGTTCTGTGTTAGCCAAAGTTAAGGTACTATCTTTATAGAACAGTGTATTTTGAAGGAAAAATGTGAATATATTTGCAGATTACATAATACTCTCAATTAAGTGTTAAAAAAGTCACAGCTGAACTTGGTTAAGATAAATTCAGACTTTCTGATTTCCTAATTGTATGTTAAAAAGCTGTTACTAGTTGCATGCTCTTAATAAATCACTATTTTTGGAAGGAGTTTGAGGTAGGACAGATGTATGTGGGAATACAGTATTCTTACCACACTGAACAGAAATAGATTTAGCGCCTTATCTTGTATCTCTTTTGTGCTCACAAATCACATAATCACAGTGAGTTATGCCAGCAGAAAATTTTAGTCTAGTGTATGGTGACTTTGTGTTTTAATCTTACTTTGATCCTTCTTTAAAATACATACTAAATAAGAAGTCAGTTCAGCACTGAAGCACCAGTCCTGTTTTGGGTCTGCTACCATGGACCCATACACAGTTCTGTAACTTCAGTGTGAATCCATGTGAGTATGAATCCATGTTATCACAGACCCAAATGCAGAATTGGCGCCCTATATTGGCAAATTTAAACAAAAACAAAATAAGTCAGATTCCGCTAGTCTAAGAAAATCCATAAGGAAGTGGCCAAAGGGGAGAAAAACTTCCCCCCTCATTGTTTCATCAGAGAATTGTGGGGGTTGCCCTCCTATAGTACGTGTGGGTGTGGTGGGGTGTTCTGTCCCCAGTACCTGCAGATTTTATGAGATCTGTATGCTCTAACCTCTGGAACTTTCTTTGGTTTTATATTTTGTTTTTTATTTTTTGCACTTGATTTTTATGGGGGGGGGGAGTTGGCTGATTTGGTTTTGTTCTTTTGGGGCACAATGCAGCAGCCTTACTTAGGGAAAACTTTCATTGACTTCAACAGAAGCCTTGCCTGACTAGTGACTGCAGGATTGAGACCCTTTAATGTAATGTTGAAATAGAGCTGAAAGTTGCCTTCATACTCATCTATAAACATCTTACTTAGAATAAAAAACTGTGTGTCTCCCCGCCTCCCCCACAACATAACTGGTTACACTTTGGAGTTTAGTTTCTACTTCTGATATGGGCCATGATCCTGCATGCGAGTAACTGACTACTTGTGTGTAAAGCTACTTATCTTCTAACTAGGGCCATGGTCTGTATCTCTTTCTCTATATTTTTGGTGTTTTGACAGTGTAATGAATCTGATTGTAATTCATAATTGGTTTTTCAAGTAATGTGAATGTAAAAAGAAAATTGCATTGTATCAGTTTGAGTTTATCATTTCTTAGGGTTTCTCCAAAGATATTAAAGTACCAAAAGCAAAATATGTTGGCTATATCAAGGATTATGAAGGAGCCACTCTAATGGGATGTGAATTAAATCCAAGAATTCCCTACACTGAATTTTCTGTCATCATTAAAAAACAAAAAGAGGTAAATAATTAAATAAGATATTGTTTAATATTAACACTGTTTTAAAAAACCCTACACATTTAAAATGGCTTATATAAATATTTCTAGAACACTTTAGTCAGCACTCAGACATCTATCCCCTTTCATGCCCATATCTGGTATTCAAAATCTCTCACAAGCCATTTTTAAAATTAATTAAAACCTATATTTTATTCTGGCCTTAAAATTATCATAAATTTACCATCTCTCAGGCATAAATTCTCCTTTCCTACAGTTAACATTGAAGAAATTATTGATGTATTACTGATGTCACAAAATGAAATTACTCATTCTGGGTGAGCAGATGTGTGAAATGTTGTGAGGTTGCTTTAATTATTTTTCAAATGGTTTTTTTAAAGTATTTGATTTACATAATCATTATTGCAGCATTCATTAATGGTAACTTTGAGTGGAAAGTTCTTATTTATATCCTTTAACTAGTTCACAATTTTTTCACACAAAGATCCTGGTCCAGCAAAACATTTTAGCATTAAAGTGACAGTTAAGCACATGCTTAAATACTTTTCTGAAATGTGGTCCAGCTGGGTAGCCGATGAAACAGAAATGTTCACAAATATGTTTCTTTAAAAAGCACAAGGCTACTGGGTCCTTCTGTGATGGAGTCAGATCTTGTGATTTCAGTTTTAGTTTGTAAAATAGTGTTTGTGTCAAGCAGCCATTTCCTTTTAACAGGAGAACATCCTGACTGAACAACAGCCTGCTCTGTTTGACAGAAGCTGTTTCCCTTATTAGCCTTCCAAGTTCCAGTTGCTATTAATTGCATTACCTCAAAGGCAGAATTATTTTAAAAGATGAATGGAAAATGCAGTCTGTTCTTAGAGAACAGAGAGTCAAAACAACTGATTCTGGCCTTCATTTTTTTTAAAATCTCTCCTGATGCCTGTGTGTCTTAAATCTCACACACATTCTGTCTCACTTCCTTTTACTTTCTACAGTTGATGCCAAGTAAAACAACTTTTTGTAAAAAATTCAGTCTTTCCGAGCACATTAGGTTCCTGGACATCATTTAGAAACCAAAGTTGCATGTGTACTTAATAGCTAATTTGGGGATCCTTCAAGTACTAACGCTTGTAATATATCTATAATAGATCAAAATGAATGGAAATTTAAGATCTAAATCATGAAAACATCATAGTTTTTTCCTTACCATTGTTTCTTCCTTTATGTGTGTATTTAAGTATAAGGAAAGATAATGTGAATAACTATAGTCATCCCATCTGATTGTAGTAGTATATTTCGTGACATTGAACTACCTGTATCTATTTAGATTTCTCTCACGTTTTGCCCTTCTGAGCAAAAAGTTCTTCTCCGCAGTAGCTAACTTTCAGCATCTCAGGGCAGCTTGAATTTGACACATATGCTGTGTCTTGCAAAACATATTTTTGAGCTAATCAGGCAGCCAGATGAAATTTCAGATTTCTTCTCAATGTAGGTGTCTGTAGGCTATATGGTTTTTTTTCTCCCCTCAGAAAATTGAGCCCAAGGATAAAATTTGCAAAAGCTTCTAAATACCATTTTCAAAAGTGACCTGATCTGCACACACATTTTGTACTGATTTCTGTTAGAGGTGTGATCTTTTTCCCCCCAGAGTAGTTATGCTTGAACATCTCTGGTGTGGGTGCAGTTATAATGGTATAAAGATGCCATATGCCAGAATAGCTTATTCCCCTTCCTACATGGGGATAAACTATTCCGGTATAAGCACCTTCATACCGGTATAATTGTAGCCATACTACAGGAGTTGTACTACTTTATCTATACCAGTATTGTTAAAGTATACAACTTTTGTGTGTAGACAAGCCGTTAATCACCCTTAAGCCTATTTTCAAAGGTGACTTAGACACTTAAGTCATTTAGGTGCTTCTGAAAATTTTACCCCAGGTCTGGTTGCTTAGTTATTTTATGTCAGGTTTATTTTATGGGTTTTTCACTAGTCGCCTTTGTTTAAAATGTTTCAAAGGAAGTTGAAGTGTCTCAGTTTGAAATAGTTTGAAATGCTCCATATCCTGATTTTTCTAGTTCTGTCAGCTTGTACAGAATTTAAGCTTCCATTTAAAGAATTGGGTTATACTCCTGTGGCTGCAAAGAAGAAGGTTCTGAATGTGAACCAACACACTGCTGTTTGGCATAGTCTGTAAATAAAGAAAAAACAATAGTTCTGGGAGGTATGAAAAATCCCAAATCACCTTGATGACTCGTTGTCTTTGAAGTCTAATTAACATGCTTAAATGTCAACATTAACTATTCCACCATTCATTTCTTCTGTAACATCCAGTAATTCTGGGATTGTGGGTGGAGTGTGAGGATATCACCACTTCCTTCTAACTTGGCTTTTGCAACATGCTGGTGGACTAAGCCTCTGGTGTAGCCCGTACTGTAGTTCTTTGGCATTTTATCAGGTGTGTCAAAAATCTGAATTTTTTTGAGAGAAAAATAGTAAAGGATGAGTCTTTAGAAATCTCAGGGGGAGGGAGGGTGGTGCTGGTGGTTTTGTTTTTGAAGAAAATTCTCTCCCCCATTATTAAAGGAAAACTATTGTAATGTAAAAGATATTGTGATTTCCAACTAATTAAAAAGATAAGTAAATAACCAATATTAAGTGTCCTAAATGTATAAAAGAGCAATTAAACAGGAAGCAGTCATCTTGACCGTGACATGTTTGAGAGAAAAAGCATAGCTAAGCATTTTAATGTACATCAAGAGCAGAAAACCAAATTACTTTGAACTGAGGTAACCAAAGGGAAAAATCTGGAGTATAAACAGTATTTTCATTTAGTAAAACATTTGTTGACGGGGTCAATCCTGCGTTCTTTATGCACCCAAAATGCTCACTGATTTTAATGGGACTCTGTGAGATCAGGGTCCTGTTATGTTTCTCACTGCCACAGTTTTCTTTAATGTCCTACCACTTCGCCTTTGAGCCAGTCAACTACTTTCCTTGACTTTCAAAACTAAAACGGTCTCCCCCGCCTTCTCTGCAATATTATTACAGATCATTAAAAAGCTGATCGAAAGGAAACAAGCGCAGATTCGAAAAGTCTATCCTGGCCTTTCCTGCTTCAAAGATGGAGTACGACAGATTCCTATAGAAAGCATTCCTGGAATTAGTATGTACCAACCTCCCTTTATAAATGCGGAGCTACATCAAAACAGCCAAGGCCCAAGATTAGAGAAATTTGAATTTGCCAAGTATTGTCTTTTTAATAGGATTCAATTATCTAGGTTTGTTAATCTCATATAAGACAGGCTGGATCTGTTTCTAGTACCATTATTCACTTCTGGCTTAGAGACTTCCCTAAGGTATTCTAGTGTAGTGCTTCTCTACATACATTTATTTAATTCTGCCCCCTTTGTTTTGCTTCACAGTGCAATCGGCATTTTCCCTCTGAGTTCATCTTACGTTTACAATCCTAGACCGCAATACAGTTCTGTATTAAATAGATACTTATTTGAATGAGGGCACAACAATGCTACAACCAATTATTTTTTCAGTTGTCTGTGTAATATATTTTATGTCCATAAGAAATTATTGTGTTGAATCATTTTTACATCTATTTTCTTTACATAGAAGAGGCTGGATGTAATGATAAAAGATGGTAAAGAATTTTTAAAAAACAGTGCATTCCTTGTAGAGCATGTTACAGCATACTTGAGTGTGGTATGTAGGAAATTAGATTGGGTGGGAGCTAGAGTGCTGTAGTTTTATTAGGATTAGTCTTTAGAAAGCTTTTTATTGAGGGAGTACTGTAATTTTATTAACATTTTAGATTCATATTAATTTCAACCTGAAGTAGTTCTCATGTAATGTTTAATTTTGTTGGTGTGCAGGAGAGACTGGCTGGAAACCAAGTGGAAAAGAGAGAGGGTAAGTACTGCTTGGACAAAGGATAATGATGAAGCAGTTTGGGAATCCTTTGAGAACAAACGTCTCTAAACTGAGTAACTTTGAAATATTTCTTTCCATCTATCACAAAACGGAGATAACTACTCGGCTGTAGAATAGCTCTTGGGTCTTATTTTTCCATTAATGATAAAATGTTTTAAGTTTGTGAGTTGCTCTTATGTAAGGTGTAGCATTGTAGAAAATGAACATAAGAGATAAAGCTTATCTTCTTTGTTAATATTTTCTTTCAAGTAAAGAACCCAAAGATCCAGATCAGCTTTACAGCACATTAAAAACCATCCTGCAGCAGGTGAAGGTGGGTATTAGTTTTAGTTTACCTACTTTAAAGATTTTGAAATGATTTCCAATATGGAGTTTCCATATTAGATACCTTACTTTTTTCTTTACCAAAGAGCCATCAAAGCGCTTGGCCCTTCATGGAACCTGTGAAGAGAACAGAAGCTCCTGGATATTATGAAGTTATAAGGTTTCCCATGGGTAATGCCATTAACATTTTTAAAGTATAAACTTAAAGATCTCTCTAGCTGGAGACATGTGAGACAAGTATAATCAAGATTTATTGTTACAAACATTTTCTAATGTATTGCTTGCAGTGCGATAGTTTGCAACTCAGCAGTGGCAAAAATATATTGCTATCAGTTGAAATGTATGAATAGCTTGTAACCTCAGTGAAGCATCTATATTATGCACTCCTGTAAGAAAACACAAAATATTACAGTACCTGAGAGGATCCCAGCAACCTCTTAACCGGGTCTATCCCAGCACCTTTTAGCTGACTGTATGGGTTAAGAGACCTGTGAAGATATGATCTCACATGAAGGGTAATTTGCCATTGCATATTTTGTTGTATATTTTTATCTAACTTGTTAAAAAACCCAGAGACAAAATTTCCAGACTCACCTAAGTGACTCAGAAGGCTAGGTCCTATTGTCCGGCTGTGCTGGAAGAAAGACAGGAGGCAATGGGTGTGGTTCCATTAGGCCAAAACTTCGTTCATTTGAAATATCTGGGAGTACCCGGCAGTAAATTGTACAGTGCACTCATTCTTTCCTTAGTCATTTCCGCATAATACCCAGGCATCATGCTGCTGGGACCTCTCCACTCTCCCCTCACCTGAGGTGAAGGGGAGTTATGAAAGGAGGGAGGTCAAGATATGCAAGACAAAGGAGCCTCAAACCCCCTTCCTCAGCTCCCTTAAGGGATGCTTTCCTTCAAACCCTTTTCTAGTCGATTTTATCCAGTAACTGTGTCCCTTCCATACTGATTACCTGCACTGGACATCTGCTCAGGGCCGGCGCAACCCATTAGGCAACCTAGGCGGTCGCCTAGGGTGCTGCGATTTGGGGGGCGGCGACCGCGGCGGTATTTCGGCGGCGGGACCTTCCACCGCCTCTGTGGGGGGGCGGCATTTTGGGGCGGGACTGGCGGCACTCCAGCATCTGCTGCAAGTTTTATGTACCAGGTTGCAACATTATAACCTACCCCCTGTGCCCCACTGGGTCCCAGACCTGCTGTGGGGAAGGCAAAAAAAAAACAACCCACCATAAAAGAGGGCTTCTCTGCAACTGGCTGGGTATAAATACCTCCTCCTCCGCCCCCTCCACCCCACTTTTCTGGTCAGCAGGAAGGGCAACAGAGTGATGGTCTCTTGACTTGGCCCCAGCTATGCCCTGCCCTCCTGTCCGTCCCTCCTCCTCACTCATTTAACTTGTAATTTAAATTTAAATCAAGTGCTTGTTTCAGTTTAAGCTCAGCACATGTGCTAATTTATCATAACCAGTCTTACAACATTTTTATTTTGAGATCTTGAAAATCACTGTGTGTGTTTTCTATGGCCCAGCTATTGTTCGTGCTTCTATTGCAACACAACTGCTAATGAGAAAAAAATGAATTTTTACTTTGCCTTTGCTATGCTGTACAATCATATATAGTGATTCCATCCTGTTCTAAACAAATGCTTATTTGCTTTCTGGCACCACAGAACTAAAACTGAATCAAACTCTGCATTCATTGCCTTACAAATCATTCCTCCCTCTCTTACTGCTTCCAGTCATGGTATTTTCTCTTGTGATTGGAGAACAAACACAACTTCATTGAGGCCACTGTCGGTATCTCTGTGAATCAGTCTGTAGGGCATAGAAAGTCCTCTGTTCGGCTACACTGGAAGGACAAGAAACACTGGATGTGGTTTAATTTAGGCTGCAACTTTATTACAACTGGCTGGGTGCACCCAGCAGATAAAAGTGTACAGTGCAGGTAACTCTATGACTATTTCAATATCTACATAGGGTGTGGGGGGGAGGGCTTCCGTCAGCCGCCCCCCCCCTTTCATCTTTCAACTGGCTGCTGGGTCCTTACCATCCTCCCACCTCAAATGAGGGTTAAAGTGGGCTCTAAGGGGTGGGGGTGTTGGCTCCCTGCCATGCCAGTCAGAGAGTAAAAGTGGGCTATCAAGGGGGGGAGTGGTTGGCTCCCTGTCGTGCCAGTCATAGGCGCCTCCCCTTCTGCTCCACCCCCATTTCCACTCCTTTAACAAACACCTCCTTCAAATCCTTTACCAAACCATACATCTGATAACTGTATTCCTTCCCTGCAGAGTACGTGCACTGGACGTTCGCCCCAGGCTTACAGAATGAGTTGTGACATCACAGCCTAACTCCTGTTCTATGCTTGCTTCAACTAAGTCCCCACCCCCGCCCCCAAGAATGTGCTGTGGGGAAAGTGAACCCCCCCCCACCACTCTGTCTTGGCCAATCTGGTGGTGAAGGAAAAATTCTTTCCCAGCCCTCCCGCCCCCGTGCCCACAAAAGATCCTAACCAAACTTGGTATTTCACCACTTTTATGGCTGGGAGGGTGGGTGCTTCTCTGCCTGGTCCAGATAAGAGAGCTTTTCCTGCTTGGCTTGCATCTATGTACTCTCCCCCCCCTTCTGGTCACCTGCGGGGGATGAGTCAGTGTGCCCAGGCTAACCTGCTCTGAATCTGCAGCAACGCCCTTAAAGAGGTATAGTGCTTCCCCCAGCAAGCCAGACAATGCCCCTGCCACCACACTCTTAAGGTGTGGTGCGGTCATTCTAAAGAGTAGAGATGCAATACATAGCTTTTCTGTGGAGTCCTCGATTAGTTACTAGGAACATACCCACCATTCTGCCTTAATGATTATTGTACATAACTAATCCTTGCCATATAGGAAGTATATGTATTTGTATAAAATAATAATCACCTTCCAGTATCCTCTTAAAGCAGAGGTATTTCATTTTCTCTTGTCAGTGAAGAAAATGAATGCCATATTGCCATATGGCTGAATATTGTGAACCTGCTTTGTGCACAGAGTTTAGGCCACCATTTACTCAGAACAGTAAGTGGTGATTATAAAGAACACTTACTGCCTGGATTGGATAAATATTATCCTTCATTTTTTTAAATGTTCCGTGCTGTGGATAAAATAAACAAACAATCTCTGTCAGCCTTCATTTTAAGGTGAAGATAAGTTTATCGTCTCAACTAGATCATCCAACACCAAACAACTGAAAGCTCAAGAGTTTTTGATTTGTGAGCCTGCACATTGTACTGTCCTCCTGACTGCCAATATACTGACACTTTAAAAAAATCTTCATGTGATTGAACATATCAACAATGATAAAAGATAAACAGCCCTCAGCTTTGTATTTTTCTTATGTGGGATGAATGTGTTTTGCCAGATTTCTACATCCTTGCGTTATCAAACATAAAACACCCATAATAATGTTTTATTTTTAAAAAGTTCCCGTGCAGCCTAAATTGCAACACATTTTATGGGTTTATAGCCATAGGTTTTCTGACTACATCCAAAGGCAGGTTTTCTCCGAAAGTAGTCCCAAAGATGGATAACTAGCCCGGGTTTATCTGGGTTTCCACTGATATTCCGAGTGCTTTTGCAGCTACTTATTTATCTAAACTTTATCATTTCTAAATGGTGCCTTCTTACTTCATTTAATTTTTTTTCTTTTCACCTGTGGTAGTCCAGGGTGCATGACTAAATGGAAGACACGTCTAGTTTTGCTGGCCATAGCTAGGCTTTGATGATAACGTTCCTGTCAGATGAATGGAAGAATCTACCCAACTGTTGGAGCTAGATTATACTGTTTGATTCCATAAAACAAAAGAGTGTTATGATTAAACTAGTACAACCTGTTAATCTTTTTCTATATGCATCCTTTGTAGAATTAATACCATTTATGTTTTTCCCCAAATCAGTCTGAATCCTAAAGGTACAAATCATCCCCATGTGAGCTGAGCATGAAATTAGCTTGAGGCCTACATTTCACTGTGCTATGGCCAGGCCTGCACACACAAGTTGCGCTGATTTAACTAAATCAGTTTAGACAGATTTAGCTACATCAGTGCAGGGCCATGTGTTAGACCCTTTTAAATTGGTTTAAGAGTGTCATATGTAGTCTTAGGCCAGGTCCACACTAAAAAGTTAAGTCGACCCAGCTACGTCACTCGGGTGTGAAAAATCCACACCCCTGAGCAATGTAGTTAAGCCCACCTAACTCCCAGTGTAGACTGTGCTAGGTCAGCTGAAGAATTCTTTCGTTCACCCAGCTGCCACTCTCGGGAAGGTGAATTAACAACAGTGACAGGAGAACCCCACCGTTTGCTGATGTGAGTGGCTACACAGCAGTGCTGCAGCTGTTCCTCTGTAATGGTTTAAGTGTAGACATAACCTAAGCTAATGTTAGCAAGCAATCAACTTTAGCTAAATCGATACAAAATGCTCTTAATCTGATTTAAGAGTGCCCTCAGAAGGGGATTACATTAATCTAACTAAATCTGTTTCTAAACACATTTACTGATAAATCAGTTCAACTTTTGTCTGACAAGGTCTGAGTCTCCAGAGTGGGAAGGGCTTGACTTGTATGCAGCTGGCATATACTACACGATTCCTAGTTTTTGTGAACTCAAGGTTCAGTGCTGCCAGTATTCCATGTAAGAAACATAGTGTTCCCTTCATTTCTCCAAATACGTATACTCAAGGCCCAGAAAAGAGCCCTAACACTGCTCCAAACTCCTGTGGTGGTAACACATTGCTTTCATGCTTCAGTTCCCTTCCCACCCTCACTTACCCATTTACATGCTGAAATGTCCTCAGTTTGGTGTAACGAACATAGTGGCATACTTTTGTGTTACATTTTTGCATATTCCTACTTATTGTGCACAGTATCTGCTTGTAAATTTGGGGTCACTGGTAGAATTGACTTACATAAAATGTTTTGTATCGGGGGTAGCCGTGTTAGTCTGGATCTGTAAAAAGCAACAGAGGATCCTGTGGCACCTTTAAGACTAACAGATGTATTGGAGCATAATCTTTCGTGGGTGAATACCCATTTCGTCAGTGTTTTATTACTTTTGATAGTGGCTTTGGCTTCTAGAGTCAATGACTTACACATTCTAGTGGCTGTTTTTCTCTTTTTTCTTACAGTACATTTGCCACTAAGAAAGTGGTTTTTCATTATGTGAATTTCTTTCCAGTAGTAGAAAGCTGAGGTCTGACATCATCCTACTGGTATTTTCCCCACTGCCAATAACATTCATGGTCTTCCTTCAAAAACTAGATTTAAGGGCCTTTGGGGATCTAGCTGGAACTTAAAAATGCTATGCAGCTCTGTTTTGACATAGGCAGAACTGTGGCCCAAATAGCAATTTGACAGAAATCTGAAAGGTACACCTAATTTGTGTAGGGGTGTGTGTGTGTATTCACGTGTGTCTGCATTAATTTTTTCTACAATCTAAATACATGTTTGTGCCGTTGATTTAATAATGCATTTCATAAAAATTAAAATAGAGATTCAGCAGAGATTCTTTCGCAGCCAGGAAGTCTGTGTCAGCAATTTTTATTCCTCTCTCTCTTTTCTCCTTCATTTGTATGTTTTATTTAGGTGGATATTTCATTATATTCAACTAAATAAAACATACAAATCAAGGACTTTGCAAATCAAGTTTAGCAACATTTTGAAACTTCTCCCTAAACTGATGTGTGCTTTAGTTATTTGTGGATTGCTCCAGAAAAAGAGACACGAAATCATAGCTCAATGGTTGCTTTGTGTTTGTTACATGCAGACTGTACAAATATTGTTCTACCTAATTGGGAGGAAAAAAACCTGCGAGGAATTGGGATGAAAATGTTGACTGTATACTCAGATAAAGAACCAGTGTTTTAATGACTTTACTCATTTTTAATATATGGAAGAAGATGTCCATTAATTAATGATTTTTGATCAGATTTACTCATTTAATGAAGAAAACAGTGGTAAAAATGGAGACGAAAGTGTTGCTGGATTACTGTCAGAGAGACAATTAAATAGTTTGCTTACCTGTATGGTTGATTTACATTCTGCTAAAGTCAGTAGGAGCTTGCCTTTGTGAGAACTGAGTCAGGATCTCAAGAATTAGCCCCCAAAATGAGCACAGGACAGAAAGCCCACAGTTGTTAGGTGCTAGATAAATGCAGAGTGTTCCAGATTGTTGGAGGTACAACATGATAGGAAGTGGATAAGCCTTTGCCTTTATAGTAGCTGTTACTGAGTTTTTTGCCTCATTGCTATTCATAGGTGGAAGCACGAGTGTCTGTTAGCTGTTTCTTTTGTAGAATGCTGTGCAACAAAACTAGCAAATGGCAGAATGGCTATTTGTGGGTACTCAGCATACCTATTCTTCTTTTCTGAAAGAATTTCACGTTAGTCGTAATTTATGTAGGGCTTGTCTCTTGTTTGGAGAGTCATCTTTTTTGCAGATCAATGGCAGAAGGATGGGTGAAAAAAGCTCATAGTATCTTTATTTCTGCAGGGTCTGATACTATCACGCCACTGTAACGGAGACACGAATGTCATTTTAGGAGCTGTGCATTCTTCTTTAGGGATCTCATGGCTTTACAGTGAATGTGCCAGGATCTCCACTGCGAGCAGTGGATTGTGTGGGCCTTGGCAATGAGTAAGATTTTTTTTCTGGTGCACTGATTAGATATTTTATTAAAATATTATTATTTTTCTTTCATGTTTCTAGAGCCTGGGCTCCAGCACTGCTATGATATAGCTGTGAACTGGAAAAGCATTCTGGCCATCTGGTTATGCCAATGCACACAGAAAGCATGTCACTACCTCAGAATTTTTATATCCAGTACTAGCACCTCCAAAATAGAAACAAGGTTTTAACAAGACCTAGTGTAGAACTATGGATTGCAAGGTCTAGATGTGTGTTGAGTTCATTGATGTGTTTTGTGAGCAAAAATAGTGGAGGACTTTCGTCACTTTGTTTCAAAGCTTCTGAACAGTAGATGGTAAAATACACTTGCTTAGATTGCTGAAAAACAGAAATCTTGTTTCATAAAAACCCTGTATATTTTACTTGGTTTTCCTCCTCATTAAAATATAAAATAGCGTTAGTGATTTACTCTGTGCATAGTATATTACTTCTATGCACTTTTACTTACCATATGTAATAGAGAGATGTGCATTGTTTGCTGAATGGCATATGTTGATTAACCTGATGCTGTTTTTGTTAATGCAGATAGCTAGAAATTACATGGCAGTTTGAACTTTTTATTCACATACTCTAGGGCCTCATCCTTCAAGGTGGTGAGCTCAACTTCTGAGGTTGAGGAGACTCAACGCCTTATAGGATCAGGGCCTTACAGAGACAAACGAGTATCAGGAGAACAGCAAGTATGCCTTAATCTTTAAATTGAAACATTTTAGGTGCTGCAGAATTGCATTCATTGTTAGTGGCAAAGATGCTTATGTGACATAGGGCTTGATCCTTCACTACTATTCAGTTTTGCTATTGACTTCAATGAGAGCAGGATCAGGCCCTAAGGGAATAAAAGTAATTAAGAATAAGTAATTTTCCATTAAAAAAAATGAGCTGATGACAAAGATTGTGTATCCCAAGCACTGTATATGTCTTTAGTATTATAGGAATCAGATTGCTAATCTTTTTTTTCCTGTACAGATCTGAAAACCATGAGTGAACGACTCAAGAATAGGTACTACGTGTCTAAGAAATTATTCATGGCAGACTTGCAGCGGGTCTTTACAAATTGCAGAGAGTACAACCCCCCTGAGAGTGAATACTACAAATGTGCCAATATATTGGAGAAATTCTTCTACACGAAAATTAAAGAAGCTGGATTAATTGACAAGTGACAGTTGTTTCTTTCAACCAATCAGTGTGCCTAATTTATAGGCACAGTATGCTATTCACCTTCATGTAGATTTGGGACTTAATACATATATGTTCAAAAAAACCTCTGTGTATTTTAACTAGCACTTTTAAAAACCCTTTTAGTTTTGCAAACATGTATTATACTGAAGTTACAGAAAATGTTTATTTTATTAAAATGAAGCTTTATAATGTATTTAACATTACTTTAAAACTTCTTTTGCATACATATTTGCAGTATGGTCAAGAATAGGCTTTTTATTGGATATCCCCAAAACTTTCATATGGGAATTTGCACACGTTTGGGGATTTGGAATCAGAAATTCCCATACAATGAATGTTTTAGCTTATCTAATGCAGTATATATTTGAAGAAGTTTTATTTTTTTCCAGTAAAAACAAAACATTAAGGGAAAATTACAATTTAAGAGGCACTGAAATATGTTTTGTCTCTACGTTTCATTGTAGAGTCCTTTATATATATTATTTTTTAAAAGAAACAGTCAGCTAGTTGAGACACTATGAGAGAAAAGCAACTTATTCTGGAAAGGAACTGCTTTGAATCTTTAGGAAAAAATCCTATATAGATGCAAACTTTTCTATGGATTTGGTTTTTGATAAATATCTACCTGCAAATAACTTGTGATTTCATAACCACTATTTAAAAAAAATCATATTGACTTCGCTTATGCAGGACATAAGTTCCCCAAATAACTCAAAAATTGTAGTAGGCATATACTATATGTAGTAGGGATATGTTTTTGATGTACTTCAGTGAACCATTCCATTTCCTGGTCGTTTATTTGATACATTCTTTAGAGTTTCAGACACAGATCATGAAAACTGTTGCTTAAGTACATACAAAAATGTTACCATATCACAGCCTCTAGTTTATGTATTTGCCTATGTGGTAAACTGGATTTTCTACCAAGTTCTACTGTAAACATTTTATTAATTATAATGATATTTAGACCCAGGAGTATATTTAAAAAGTTACACAGCTCATGTTAATACATCATTAAGTATCAAATCAAGCACTTCTGTGTACTACTGCTTACACTACATATAGGAGGTACTCTTACCTTTCTAATAGAGAGTGAGATTAATACAGGCCAAAAAAGAAATTGTCACTTGACATTAATTTTATAATTGAAATTTATAAACTGGTTTTGTGAAGCCTCAACTTTAACTTGGTGTTTTTATATGTACAGATGTTACATGGTAAAGTGCAGTAGTTATCAGGTTGAAAATAACTGAGTTGTGACGAAACATATTCTTGCAAAATACCTGTGCAGTGTTAAAGCACAATTCTATTCGACAAGTAGATGCCAGAAATTAGTTGGAAGTAGCTATTGTGGTACTAAAGGTATTCAAAATGTTAACATTAGAATTGCCTCAATGCTTAATATCTGAAACCAGTCTGAATTACATTTAGATTTGTAACTATAAAGGTACAATACTAGAATTGTATTAAAGCATCCAGTACTGACTATAAACTATATTGTAAACTGGGCCTACAGATGCACCTGTTGAGCTTGGTATCCTGTGAAAGTTTGTTATTTTCTGAGTAGATTTTCTTACTGTCTTTAAATCAGATTGTCTCTTCTATATTGAAAGCATTTGTTTTCTAATTTAAAAATTAATATTTTCATAGATATTGTGCAATAAAGCTACAGTAGGATGTGTGGTTTTGCAAATGCTTTAACAGCTGATAAATTTTACATTTGTAAAATTAATATATTGTACTGGTACAGAATAGTTTTAAATTATATATAGATATAGATATAGATATATACATACATATATATATAAAACCTAATTATTTTGGTCTCTTATTTCAATAGGTGACTGCTCTGAAGACAATATTTTATTAGTTCTCACATTTAAAAAAACACACAGAAGCGGTTTATATTTTCTTGTATTGAACAGAGATTTGCAAGGCCCAGCTATGCAATTCGTTTATCTACCAAGTTGCACTGTGGGTAGCTGCTCTAAAGTTAACACTGCAAGCCAATGAGTTCATTTGAAGTGTAAAGTCTGCAGAGTTGGGCCCTTCTTTATGAAGAGCAATGAAAATTCCAATAAGTCTGCAAATACAGTATATGCACTATTCAAGCTGAAACATTCATGCTACAAGTGCCTGTAATGGTTTGAATAAATCTTTATTGGCTTTAGCTGTTCAGTAAAGTTGACAGTCTATATTATTTTTACTTGGGTATCTGCTCTTGTGTGGTTAATGGTATTTTTTGCCCTCGCAAGAGCCATTTGCTGTCTTCATTAGCTCCTGGCTTTTGATGTGTGTCCAGTTAATTCCTTTGTCTAGATACTAGAGTACCTAGTTTTTGGATTTTAATTCTCTTCCACTTGGACACCACCTGTGAAGCAGCAGATGGTGGTAGATACAATCCTTCTGCTGTGCTCTGAGCAAGCTGCAGATTATGGATAACTTTCTTAGGCAGTCCTAGATAAAGTGCAGCACTGCACTAGTCCAAACTCAAACACAGGCATAACTTCCAAAAGAGTGTGAAAGCGAAACGATCACACTGTTGAGAGTTGGAAATCATTAGCCTTGCCCCTATGTGACACTTAGTCTGCCATTGTGTGTAAGTTGTAGCTCTGTCAGCCCTTTAGGTTATACCTATACTGCCCTTAAAAACCCACAGCTGGCCCATGCCAGCTGACTCAGGCTCATGGAGCTTAGGCTAAGGCTGTGTTTAATGGTGGTGTAGACATTCAGGCTGGGTCCCAGAACTTGAGCTCCAGCCCAAACCCAAACATCTACACTGCACTTAACTTAGTAAATTAGCCAGTGAGCAAGCAGGTGCCTTTCAGGACCAGCCTAGCCAATCATCTGGGTAATTTTGGAAATGATGCAAGAGAGCAAAGGGTAGGGCCACGTTGAGACTCTTGCCTGCAGTGAATCCTACCTGCTCCATGCATAGGAATGGAAAACTTATACATAATTTCCTTTCTGCTAGCAGCATCTCCCTCAATTCTGGACATCTGGGTTGCTTTCCCCTCTCTGCAGCTCACAGAGACAAATCAGTGTTTTGGCATGGCATTGTCTGGTCACCCCCTCCACCCCACTCCTGCTTTTAGCCAGATGAGTTATCAAGCTGTAAAATTTGCATAACATCTTTAACAAATATTCCAGAGATGATGATAATGACTATATACATTAGACCAAGGAAGACAGTCACATGATAACAATTCCACTTAATACCTGACTCATGAGCCATCCAGGGAGGATAGAATTGTGGGAGAGACTGCTAGCAGAAAAGAAAAGAAATTTTCCATTCTGCAGCCCAGCATCTCCCGCAATTCTGGGTATCTGGTACAAGTGAGCGAACAGATTTAGGGAGGGTTATGAAGCAAAAGTTTGTCAGAAAAGAAACACTCCACTTTTTCTGTGAGCTCGCTTATCTCTGGGCCAGCAACTGCAGCACCTTCCTGCAGGTCCTCTGAAGACAGAAGATCGATCTTGTGCTTAAAGAAGGTGTTAGCTGTAGACCAAGTGGCCACTTTGCAAATTTTCACTGGTAACACACTTGCTTGTTCCAACTATGAGGTTGCTCAGAATGTCCTGGAGCATACCTTCATCCCTTCTGGGACAGGAACCTCTAATGATCTGTAGGCTTCCACAATATATAGTCCACCTAGCAACAGAGAACTTGGAAGTTCTGATTCCCTGGCATTTCAGGTGAAAGAATACAACCAGGGAGCCTGATCTTGTGGCTTCTGTACACCTGAGAGAGAGTGTCAACATTCTTCTGACCTCTAAGATATGCCACTCCTTTTCAGTTGGATGTTATGGTTTTGGATAGAACGAAGGAAGTATATGTCTTCGGAAGAAAGGATTCTGGTGTCCTGAGTACCACCTTGTCCTCATGGATCATGCAGTAAGGCTCCTGTCTAGATAAGGCTGCCAGCTCAGACACTTGCTTGGTGGACATAACAGCTACTAAGAAACAAATCTTAATGGATAAATCGGCCAACACTGAAGTCAGAGGCTCAAAGAGATGACTTGTCAGAACCTTTAAAACTAGTGGAAGGTCCCATTTTGGGAAGAGTGGTCTGATTGATGATCTAGCTTTGGACTGCTTGAAGGAATCTGGCTAGATGTGGATTGTCTGCCAGGGAGCCAGCGGATCCTGCAATTGCACACTACTAACAGACACCTGACAAATAATGGTACTGGGCTGAAGGCATCTGTCTAAGCCTTCTTGAAGAAAATCCAGAATGGTTGGAATTACAGACTTCTGGGATTTGCACTGTGCTCTTGGCACCAGTTGTTGAATCTGGACCAGACAGAGGAATACACTTTTAGTATCTATATTCTCCTAGACGAAAGCAATATCTTAATGACTATGAAGGACAGACTAAGACCTTCTAGTCACTAGTGGTTCCCTCTCAATATGCAAGCTTAGCTGAAGCCACTTTGGGTCTAGATGAAAAGGACCTTGAGAGAGGATGTCCTGTTTCCAGTGGGGCTCCACTATCAGCTCTATCCATTCTGAGAGCCAGTCTCCTCGACCAATGGGGAGTTATCAGTATCACTATCGCCCGTCCTCATTTTGTTTTCTCAACCACCTTCCACAGTACGGGAAAGGGTGGAAACTTGTAAAGTAGGCTCTGCAGCCAACTGTGCAATGTGGCATCTGTCACCATGCAGCTGGAGTCTGCTGCCCTTGTGAAGTATTTTGGCCTCTTAGGCTAGGTCTACACTACAGCGGACTTCCGACCTAAGATACGCAACTTCAGCTACGTGAATACCGTAGCTGAAGTTGCGTATTTTAGGTCGGCTTACCTGGCGGTGAGGACGCGGGAAAGTCGACCGCTGCCGCCGACTCCGCTACCGCCTCTTGTCGAGGTGGAGTTCCGGAGTCGACGGTAGAGCCATCAGGGATCGATTTTACCGCGTCCTCACGAGACGCGGTAAGTCGATCCCCGATAAACCGATTGCTACCCGCCGGATCGGCGGGTAGTGAAGACGTAGCCTTAGTGTTCATACGATTCCCAAATAGGTTGGTTGAAGGAAGACCGAATGTCTGAACAATGAGCTTGAAAACCTCCTCCTTGAGGCACCACTCTGAGTTGTTGACCCTGTGTCTGTTGAGCCAGTCTGCTTTTGGTTCAGTTCTGCTATAATATGGATTGCTCAGTGGGGAAAGGAGGAACTGTTCTGCCCACCTCATTATGGCCGTTGCTTCTGCGTGTGATGTGGGACTTCTTGTTCCCCTTGGCTGTGTAAATGTGACTGCAGTCATCTTGTCTGCTTGAACCAGCATGTGGTTCCCCCTTAAGGTGGGCTGGAACCTTTGCAGGCCTGCTTTGAAAACTCTCAGCTCTGGGAGGTTTATGCTGTGAACCCTTTCTTCCTTGTTCCCGAGGCCCTGGGCTGTTTGGGTCTGTGCTGCCCTGCAGGCTGATGTTCATTGCGAGAAATTGGACTATAGAATCTTGACGGCAGATGGCCATGCCTTTGTCGTAGGCTGACAGCCATTGTAAAGAGTTGAACATCTGTGTTGGAACCCGTACTTGATCTTTCATGTGTTCTGGGGAGTGGTCCCACACCTTTGGTACGAAGCCTTGAAGACTGTGATGTATGATTATACTCATGAATGATCCCAGTGCATGACACCAGGAGTCCTAGCAGTTGTAGATATAGGACTATGGTATGGTTCCTACAGTTCTGGAGAAAGAAAATAAATTACTGGATGGAATCAGAGAACTTTTC